ATGTTTTGGGGAGGGTTTCAGTTTTTATGTATTTTATGCACTTGATGCATGAAGAATCGCATATTGACGAGAAGTTGCCGGTGTGAGTGTGTGTTCGGATTTTTTTTTCTTTCCCTCAACTGAGCAGGTCGCAGAGGCGAAGAAGCTAAAATTTTACGAGAGTATTTCCGGTCCGTGTTTGGGTCCGTACACGTAAAACAGGTTTCATGTGCGCATATGTTTCGCGAAAATGTGAAGTTTTATTGGAAAAACAATTTTGGGAACCAGAGAAGAGAGGAAGCTGGAATTTTTCGGATATGTTCTATGTTCATGTATGGTCAAAGGTTTTAAATTCAGATGTAATAGATCCCCTTCGTCACGCGTGCGAGCGTCAAAGATGCGTCTGTATTTTACGTGTCGACACGTCAAAGTTCCTTCTGCAAATTTATCAGTATCCTTCTGTCACGGTGACCAAACATGTTAGAAATCTGAAACTTTATGGGGCCTCACACTGTAACACAAGCGGCACAACCGTCAAAGAAATGACTGACAAGACTACAGACAATAGACTGTGAGCGAGTGAGCGCTCTACTGCTGACAGTGTTGTTGCTGCACAGAAAGTGAAAGAACGCTAGTTCGCGCTTCTAATTATTCATATTTGTAGCTTGGTTATTTGCCGAATGCTACGCCAGAGATGAGAGCACAGCTAAAAGGAGGCGGTCAGTCTGTCGATCAGCTCGTTGGTTAGTTACCAGTTTTTGCAAGTCATTGCAAGCACGTTCTCTTCTTTCAGCGTCTTTTTTTTGTTTCATTTTGTCCCTATTTTACTGTCCCTAAGAGACTGAGGCTTTCCTATTTCTCGAGTCAAAGGAAAATTTTGCATAAGTTGCTGTTATCACAGGCGTGTAAAGAGAATTTGTAACATTGTTCATCTCACATATTTGTTTCTGACGGCTTAACGCAAAAAAAAGGCTGCCATCTTCATTGTATATGGCTCATCGGGGCATGTATTTCAAAATGATGATATTTCACAGCAAACTGGAAAATTATTTGAAGTTGAAAGTAAAATTCATTGATATCGCAGATTTCTGCCATCGGCTGCAGCGATCACAGGATAAAGCAGCGCGACGAGAGAAAGGGGAACAAGTAAGCAGTGATGATGAGGATGATTTGCCGCCACTGAGGAAGAAAAAAGGCGATGACGAAGCTGACTTTATCAAACATCCGTTCGCGCTGAAGCCAACTGCACCGATTACTATCAATATACCGGTGCGTTTTTTTGCAATTTGTAACTGTGGTCCTCCTCCTAGAAACTAAGTAGTAAACTTAAAGTGCTTAGTTGCCCAAACACGATTGTCAGCGATGCTTAGAAAATTTCAGTTTTCTATCTGTCATAGTTTCGAAGTTGCAGAACTATCTGCATCAAATTTCACGTTCCCATACGTGAGATGCAGAGGTGCACGAAGCTCAGTTTACTTTTGCGAGCACATCAATGGACGGCAAGCGTCTTAAAATGAAAAAGCTTTCTAAAGCTTCTTTTTCAGTCCAGTTCTCAGGTTGGCGTGATGTAGGCTTAAATTTTGACATATCGTTCGTGGAACCTAAGTGTGATTATGAAGGCTGTTTTTGAATTCTTTGGTTACACTTTGGCAAGGAATGTCGTAAAGTCTCGGCTTTTTAGTTTGCCTGCTCCCCAAAGTCGCTGTCTCACCAAAAAATCCCAAGTGCCTGTGGGTGAATACCAAGAGAACGTGAGCGTACATTTTAGGGCTAGAGATCCGAGCAAAAGTTAAGATAGCAAAATTTTAGCTTCGTAGCTTTAGTAGATCTCAAGATCGAAAAACCCAGACAGAAGTTCCTCTCTCTCTCACTCTCACACACACACACACACACACACACACACACACACACGCACACACACACACACACACACAACTTCTCGGCGGTGTGCTTTTTATGCATTTTGCCGTGCAGCGCTAGAGCGCTGCAACGGGCAGCAAAAACGCATATTGCAATGACCCTGTCGGTGTGTGTGTATGTTTGTGTGTGTGTGTGTTCGTCTGTCCGGGTGTTTCAACTCGCTAACCGCGCA